AAAACATCCCCACAGCATGATGCTGCCACCACCATGCTTCACCATAGGGATGGTGCCAGGTTTCCTCCAGACGTGACGCTTGGCATTCAGGCCAAAGAGTTCAATCTTGGTTTCATCAGACCAGATAATCTTGTTTCTCATGGTCTGAGAGTCCTTGTCACGGTTTCGGCCGAGGCTGCCTCTCTCCCTTGTTCGCGCAGGCTTCGGCGTTTGTTGTCTCCGGAATACTAGCTGCCACCGTTGTATGTTTCATGTTCGTTTGCTTTTGTCTGTTTGTTGTCACACCTGTTCTCGTTTAGCGTAATTAGTGTCCTATAAGTTTCTCGTTGTGTTTGTCTAGTGTTGTGTGTTATTGATTTTGGTCTGTCGTGTGTAGGGCTTCATTTGTGATTTCGCTCGGTTGAGCTTCCCTCCACTGCGTTGGAGTGTTACGCACCTGTTTTGTGCGCTTTCGTTTTGTTTCGCCTTCGTGCGTAATTTCGCCTTCGGGCAAGAGTTGTCTTATTTCCTTGTTGGAGATTACTAAAGTCTGTTGGACTATACTTCGGTGTCCTGCGTTTGTTTCCACCACTGCACCCACCTACAGCACGCGTGACAGTCCTTTCATGTGCCTTTTACTGAGGAGAGGCTTCCGTCTGGTGGTTGGTGGTTCCAAACTTCTTGGTGGTTCCAAACTTCTTCCATTTAAGAATGATGTAGGCCACTGTGTTCTTGGGGACCTTCAATGCTTCAGACATTTTTTGGTACCCTTCCCCAGATCTGTGCCTCGACACAATCCTGTCTCTGAGCTTTATCGACAATTCCTTTGACCTCATGGCTTGGTTTTTGCTCTGACATGCACTGTCAACTGTGGGACCTTATATGGACAAATGTGTGCCTTTCCAAATCATATCCAATCAATGGAATTTACCACAGGAGAACTCCAATCAAGTTGTAGAAACATCTCAAGGATGATCAATGGAACAGGATGCACCTGAGCTCAATTTCAAGTCTCATAGCAAAGGGTCTGAATACTTATGTAAATAAGGTATTTCTGTTTTTATTTTTAATAAATGGTCAAACATTTCTAAAAACCTGTTTTCATTTTGTCATTATGGGGTATTGTGTGTAGATTGATGAGGTATATAAAAAAAAATCAATTTTAGAATTAGGCTGTAACGTAACAAAATGTGGAAAAAGTGAAGGGTTCTGAATACTTTCAGAATGCACTGTAATCTGATAACACCTGAGATATTTTGGTGACAGTTACATTATGTCTGAGAGAAAAGGAAATCGCTTTTTTCAAATGGTACCACAATTGCTAACAATCTCCCGACCTCTTATCTATTGGACGCTTTCCAGTCAGTTGCAGATGCTGAAATGTAATCTGAGATATAAAGATACACTTTCATAACAAATACCTGTGTTATTTCCCATCATTCCTCACACATTTCAAATATAAGTGCTGTTTTAACCTACAAACAAATCAAATACATATATGTATTAGGTGACCCTTACATGTTGTGAAATGATAGTGATTTTTCAAGAAAAGCAAGAACTGTGTTCCCTGCTTGTTTTTGATGTGTTGAAGACATACTAATAATGACTATTTTTGCTACCCCTCCACTTTTGCTGAAATATTGGCATGACCTCAAAAGGTAAATTAAAATATCACTTTCTAAGCCAAAAACCCTTAAAGGGATAGTTCACCCAAATTAGAAATGACATATTGGTTTCCTTACCCTGTAAGCAGTCTATTGACAAAGTATAACTGCAATCCATGCTTTCAATTTTGTTTTGTAGGTTGGCATTTATTGTCATGAATCTTGCCCTGGAGGCAGCTCTGCAGAGAGGTCACTAGCTGGCACAGCCAGAAAGTCGTAAAATCTGATTTTAAACCTAACCTTAACCCTAACCTTACATTTTGTTTTCAATAATTGTTTTGATATAGACAATTTTGACTTAGCAGCTTGCCCCTATAGCGGAAATCGCTCTGTTCTGCCTCCAGGGCAAGATTCATGTCAATAAACATCAACCTGCTTTTGCTTTGGATGCTTTGGAAACATATTGATTTACTTACCCATTCCATGGTCCTGTGTAGATTGTCAAACAAGCGTGATTGACTCTAAGAGCATTCCTTATAGAAGTAACACAGTATGTGTAGTCAGTATGGGGTTTCAGGTTTTTAAGTTCAATGTTCCCCAGTTGGCACTTTTAAGGTTAAAATATCTGACAACCATTGGGGACAAGACAAATTGATGTTTGTTTTTCAAAGGAGAGGCAGTCCTAGAGCTTGATTCAATCCATGCAGCTGAAGATAAGCGCTGTAGTACGATTGAAATGTAAAGGTAATTTCCGATTGAGACGACATGTAGCTTTACCGTGAATGCAGTCTCCGCGAACGCAGGAACGTTAAATGAAATAACATTTCTATCACGCTTCAGCGCAGGTCTTCAGCACTACAGATTGAATCGAACCCTCAGCATTTTGTGAACGTAATAAATATCTTCAGCTCCCAAGATAAATGCATGCAGTCACTTCTTCATAAGCACTTGCTTTGATATGTTCAGCAGAGCATTGGAAACACAGATGGAAAAGGTTTAGTATTACAGGGCAGCCTACATTTGAATGTTTAGCTATACATGAATAATGGTATAGTTGCTTAAATTCCTGGACTACAGAATATTATGAAAATATTCTAATTTGGTAGAACCACTAAAATATCATAAAAACATGTTAATGATGTGTGTGATACAAAGAAGCAAGTTTACTCATACATTCAGGATTCCATACATTCAGGATTCATACCATGATTCAGAATTCAAAAGCAACAAAATAACATAATGAAGATACTGATGGGTGCACCCTTTATTTCACAGTACTTTGTCTGAAAGCAGATAACATAGTATTAAGAAATAAAATAAAAACACTTTATTGTGCTCTTGTTTGTTTCTGGTGTACTTAAACAACAGCTGTTCACTGTTTTTTCCACCGGTTTCCCAACAATTCTAACTTTTATGAGACACAGAAGTGCTACAATATGCAGTATAAAAACATGTAGCTTACTTGCTAATTTATCTATAAATCTGACAGCTCTTGGAATCTATTGAAATGCATTTAGAAAAATTACAACAAAAAAAGACTTGTCAACAATATCAACACTGAAAAAAAATAATGAAAATTACAGTCACACACATATCCCAGAAGTTTAAGGCGGTTGAAATAAGAACTCAGACAGCCAAGTTACCTCTTGTATCCACTCAACAAAAGTGTATAGATAATATACAAATCCAGCGGCAGAAGTTTCATTCAGGCATTCATGGGAAATTTTTTATAGTGAACCCAGGCATGTTGATATACCTCTGATAGGTGGCTTCTTAATTTACAAAAGTTTCATAACAGCCACACAGTATAGGAAAATATCCTTCAACAAGAGCCTTCAGTGAAACCAATGACTTTGCTATTTTTGACTTTGTTGGCTGAGAATTGTAGACAAATATTAAATATGATAAGTTATGGGAAATATATTCATTGATAAACTAAGTAGAGACAAAGGAAACTGGAGATTATGGTTGTAAATAGCAAATAATAAAAATCTCTCTGAAATAAAATTAAAAAGCTGCCATATACAGATTTCATCATCTATGTTGTACATTCATCCATCGGGCTATAGGACAGATATTCCAGTAGAGAATGTGAACTGCATTCTCAGTATTCTGCCTAAACAACAGGTGAGAAACTACGGTTGCCTTCTGTGGAAAATATTGGTAATATAAAGGTGAACGGTCAATTACACTTTTAACAAAAGTAACTCTTAAAATGTTTTGGCTCTTTGAAACACAGTAGAACAAATTCAAATGAAATGCATATGGAACCTGATTTACCACGTTAACACACATCTTAGACCAGTGTTTCCCAACACCCCTGTACATATTTTTGTTGTAACCCCGGACAACCACACCTGATTCTACTTATCAGCTAATCATCAAGCCCTTGACAAGTTGAATCAGGGGGTTTTGTGCGGGGCTACAACTAAAATGTGTGCTGTTGGGGGTACTTGAGGACCAGAGTTGGGAAACACTTTCTTAGACCATGCAGAAAGAAAATGTTGTAAACATTCAGCTTTTTCGACTTTGGTTCTAAAGATATAACTAATGGCTCACAATGCCTATGCCTAAGACAGACCATCAGCATCAGAATAATACAATGAAGTGTCTTATGTGGAATATTACATGTAGAAAATTCCAGCCTTTTAATATTGTGCAGTTTGTTTAGTGGCCTCTAAAAATGTATTATGTGATAGTGCTGTAAATAGGGGAAGGAAAAGTTAAGAGGTCTGGGTAAGATAATACCAATTATCTGACCAGTGTAATGTTTAGCAGTTAGGACATGGCAATCATTAGTGAACAAATAAAGTAGCTGTCTTTGAAATTCATGGGCTAAACCTGATTCAAACACATTCTAATTTTTTTTCTTCTGTTCTTAACAGCAAACATTGCAGATATAGAAACTGTATCAGTACATAGTTCCGTTGTAGAATGAAATATATGTGGGGAGAAAAATTGTTCTTTTCGTATGATTGTTCAGTAGTTCTTCAAGAAAAATATTGAGGTTTCAGTAGACATGTTTTTCAATGTTTGTTACAGTATTTTCTCAAAGTACACAACAGCAAATCCACTGTCACAGGACTTGGCCATGCGATACCCAAATACCTATAATCCATTGCAACATATAATATGTATATTCTTAATTTGCAATATGTTTTCTTCTTGAAACGTTAGATTACAGTTTATTCCCATAAATTCCATACATAATGTGACAAATTTAAGATGGTGATTTCCAAGATGGTCATTTCCAAGGTTATTTTCCTATTTTACTCACAGTCAAAATATGTTGCTATATATAAGTTTAAGTAGTTGATCGCAATATGGAAGTATCCATCCAATCAATAGTGAGTTTCACATATAAGGTTTCAGTGTCATTTCTGAAAGTTGTGGTCCAGTAAAAAACACTTGGAGAGATTAAGATTTCTGTTGAGCAGATACACCTTTCCAGTAGTCTAAAATGTCATGCAGGTCCTCATCCTTGGCAAACTGCACTTTTTTACGTAGCGCATGCCCTGCAGCCATGTACTCATCCTCGTCTTTGTGCCGTTTGCCGCGGAGTTTGAAGCGCTCCCAGAAAGTGTGATGTGGTTTGCAGTAGTACTCAGGACTGGAGGAGTAGCTGAGGTTATGGTACTGAGGTGAGAGCGGAGAGTACGCCATGTCTCTGGGGCGGGGCCGAGTTAGGGGCTCCAGGATGGAGGGCTTGTGGCTTCCGGGCCCTTCCAGCTCCTCGATCTGCAGCTGGTGGCTGTCGGGATAGGAGTGCCGGTGCTCATTGTACTGCCTGATCTTCTCCGCCTCTGCCCTAAGAATGGCAGCGGCTGGTGTTACAGTGAGGATAGTCTCACCCGTTGGCGAGGTCTTCTCTATGTACTTGGACTCCGAGCGGTAAGGCCTTGGGCTCCGCATGGGACCTCCAGTGGCGGTGCTGGGCCGCTTTGGCGGGACATCCGAGGTGTGGTGCCTCTGTAACGAGTGGTGGTAGCTGTCCTTATACACTGGGGACAGGAAGCCAGACTTGCTTTGCGGCTGCTCTGATATTAGAACCAGCTGGGGCTCCTGGGTGGACACAGCTCCTGATTTCACCCCTTGAAAAGATGTGGATTCTGACTTCAGAGCATCAATACAGTTGTTAATGATCTGATTGACCTTATCCACCTCTTTTGCAATGGTTGAAATCTCAGCCACTGACCCTTGGCTGTTCCCAGGCATGGACATCTCACACTCTCTGCGTTCATGGTGGTCCCCGGTTCCTCGCACCTCTATGTAACTTCCCTTGGCCATTTTAGGCGTGTCATCTCTTATCTCCTGCAGTTTGTACTGCTCCATTTCACTACCAGATGGTAGGTATGGCATACGGGACATAGTCTCCCCAGTCATCATTTGCTTCTGTGACATCCTGGAAATGGTTCCCCCTTCGAGCTCTTGTCCGTACTTTAATTCAATTATACTTTTCTTTAGGCTGCCTGCCTTTTTGTGCTTTTCATCTTGCTGACGTTTTTTACGCAAGCAATAGTAGACCACTCCTAGGACAATCACCATACTAAAGAGACAACCTAGGATGGTCATAATGTAGTGGGTAGCTGTTGCATGGTTTTGTGATCTATCTCTCCCATTCCAGGGTCCTGTGGAGACTGCCAGACAAGTATGATTGAATCTAAGATTATTCTTTATAGAAGCGACACAGTATGTGTATTCAGTATGGGGTTTCAGGTTTTTAAGTTCAATGTCCTCATTCTGAATTTTGAGGTTTTGAATATCAGTGAAAAAACTGTTATTGTAGAGAACCAGGCTGTACATCTTCTTGAAGGGATGGGGGATCTGAACAGTGATGGTGGCGCTTGTTTTAGAGACTTGCTTCAGCTTCATACTGGGTTTTACATCCACATGAATCACTGTTGGGTTGATACTCATACTCTCATCTGGCTCAGTTCCGGAGGGACAGTCCTCCAGCCCACAGGGAGTGTAGTCTGGTGGAAGGGTGGTGGTCTCAGGAGGCACAGGTATGTACGGCGTCACATAGTCATCTGTACACACAGTGGAGAGCATATGGAGGGCATTCCGAAAAGTCGGGTTGTTAGGGTTCTGGCTGAGTAGACTGTAGCCAGAGACACCTAATGGGGAGTCACAGACCATCCGTTCATTTGTCCTGTTGGGGAATGTAGAGAGCCACTTCACAAAGCCAAGTAGTTCACAGGAGCAGTTGAAAGGGTTCGTGTAGAGCTCACAGGTGGTCAGTTTAGTCAGGCTGGTAAACGTGGTCCCATCTAGCTGCTGGATACGGTTCATGGAGAGGTCGATGTTTTCGAGGCTATAGCACTCCAAAAAGGCATTGGGTGTCACAGTCTCAATCAGGTTGGCCTGAAGGTAGAGGTACTGCAGCTTGCCCAAACCCCTGAGGATGCCCTCAGTCAGGTTACGGAGTTTGTTGAAGCCTAACTGAAGGACCTGTAAGTTGAACTGGGCAGAAAAGGCCCCGTCGTCTATGTAGTTGATCTCATTCTTGGTCAGGTTTAGGTACGTCAGGTTGGCGAAGCGGCTGAGGGCAGAGAAATGGATACTTTTGATCTTGTTTTCATTGAGCCGAAGGTCCACGATGGTGCTGTTAATATGTGTGGGGATGGCCTCGTATGGTGGCTGGTTTTGGCTGCAGATGGCCAGCCACACAAAGCCCTTCTCGCCTTCGATGAGCCAGCAGTCCCCATTGACTTTGCCTGTATAGGTCAAATATACTATGGCCACAGACCAGAAAAAGGCACTCATTACCATACCTCCACCGTAGGCCATTGGTGCTCCACTTGATGTCATGGGCAGGGCCAAAAGCTCTAAGATGGGAACACCACTGTGGTTTCTATAGATGCTGAACTGAACTCTTTGTAATCTAGCTGGACTTTCAAGTGTTCTCCTCAGTGAGGACAATCAATAAATTGGCCTTCTGTCCAGTGAAGGATAATTCTGTCCTAATGTTCCAGCCATTTACAAAAAGATGTTAGGCATGTGCATTTATACCAGCATCCATCCAATGACTTTAGCCTGGAGTGACGTTTTAGAGATGGTTCGCTGAGATTCAGTATTTCACCACCTCAAATTGGCTTGTGCTTATTTCCCCAGGGCTAACATCGTTGATCGGTCTCATCCTGTTGTTTCTTCCGCTGTCTTTCTTGCTGGGTTGCATTCATGGGCTCAGAGGAACTCCCTGAAGAGAGAAACAGGCACACGTTAGGGGAATAAATAACTGCTTGAATGTGAGGTTTACAATTTGAATATAACCACATTTACACCACTAAATTAAAAAATAGATATATATTTCTTGCCAGAAATATTCAGAATACATGCCATGCTGCACAAATATAATAATATTTATCCTGAACATCTATAGACCATTTGTAGCAGACAAATAACGTGTTACCCAATCTGTATTTATATTCTACATTCTATTAATCTGTCCTGTATACTGAACATATGGATCCAAATAATCAAGACACATTTTTGTTTTGCACATTTATTAAAAATAGCAAATATAATTGTAAAGGCAAAATATGATTAATGTGTATGCTTCCTCTTTCATGACCATCCAATTATTTTGTACACAATTTCAGAGGTGATGTACGGTCCCTGTGGCATATTGCTATTAAAGGAAACCTTTGGCCAATTACCACTTGACAGGTTGGGGAAAGCAGGGTCTCTATTTTCACACCATTAACCTGGGGACTGTCAAACACAACTGAGTCCAACTAATGTTAAGATGCCGCATTAAATGAATTACTCTGCACCATTATGAAATGTTCCTTTGAAACTGAGTCCTCTCGAGAACCTTATAGAATCTGACAACATAAATAGAACTTAATGACTTTCAATGCTATGGATGTGTCCCCTAAACATCTTACGGAAACTACTGAGGATACAAACCTTGAACCAAAAATAGCAAACTGTTCATTATCAATTTGACCCTGTCAGATTGTTCCCCCGGGAAATTGCAGTGTTCCATTGGGTCTGGTTAAATCATTTGACACAATAAATGTAATCAATTAAAGACACAGCACAGACAGTTCCCAACATCCCAATGTTTACGAATAAAGTTGATAGCTGCAGGAGCAAACCTTGGAGCTGGTTGTGTAGCCTATAGATCCTGGTTTTATGGAGATGTATTAATGAATTATTAGTCCTAAACGGCAGGTGACCTCAGCATGGGAGGTGCTGAGAGGAAGGAAAGTCAAATGTTTAAGTATCTGAGTCATTCTCATAATAGTCTTAGGTAATAACTTGCACCACGGACGACCAGCACAGCCGTGGTCATAATCAGCAGCAGTGGCCAGAGATGAACACTGAGACACTTAGTCTTCCTGCAACAATACCTTTGTGTTTGGATTACGAATTGCATACCCTATTTCCATTCAAAGAACTACCTTATAACTTTGACATTCCCACAATACTAAATCATGATGCTTTTTCCATTTCTTAACGGATTTCATTGTGCTGCAAATAAAACATCATGGGATAGGCTACTGCATGTGCCAATTTCGATATTGATTTATATGTTATGACTGCATGCCATATAGAAAAGTATTTGTTCTCCTTTTTGAGAAAAATAACTGAGGCTACAAAATGCCGATGGAGGAATGAAAATGATTTACTGCATGCCGGACATTTCCGACTGAGAGGGGAAACATTTCATCTGCATTCACTAACATGTAGTCAATACATTTTGCTGACCCAAGGGCTATACTTCATTGTCAGTGGCACCTAGTATTGCTTTTTTATCCAAACTTGAGCCACTTAACTAGCTTTCAAATCAGATTGGACTCTGTCAGTTATTAATTTTTTCCTTGTTAAAATTCAATATGAAGGCAAATATAGCCAGAGGAGGAACACTCACCACCAAGGCAGGGGTCTCGGCTCAGAGCGATGAATGACATTTTCTCTTCTCCGGTCCACTTAAAGCAGCCCAGACATCTCAGAGGGAGATATTTGTTTAGACCTCGTTGAGATGTGTAGCCTACTGTACACAACAATACCCAGTACCTCGTGCTTACTGCTGTCACACTTGAATATTTATAAGAACAATGAGAATTAAGAAGCCATCCTACCTCTACCCTGCAAAGACAGAGTGTCTGTATATTAATAATTTAACAAAGTCAATAAGAGATGTTTCAATTATGAAAATTCTGTTTATGAGGAGCAGTCATTTATTTTTCATATTTTACAAATGCTCTTAAGACCTGGAAGGAGTCCTACTGTAGATAACGTTTTTTTTTATAAAGAAAGCAAATCAAATTTTAATCCAATCTAATCCAATATATTAGAAATGCATGTCACTGTTCAAGTAACTGTTAAGTAACATCAAATATTCAACTCTTCTAGATCCTATGACTTTGTTATTACAGCCATTAATTCATTGTGAATGGTGTGGGAGTGACTGACCATGAAAGTGGGCTGCAAACTCAAGTGATGGATAGGTTAATCATAGAGGACAGCAGTTGAATACTTTAAACCCAGAGGTATGTGACGTCACCGCTAGCCTCTCTTAGCCCTCTGATGCAACTGCTGACATAGGCCAGGAAGTGGATGTGTTGCCTTGTGGGAGGCCACAGGGGGTGAGAAGAAAGGTGTCCCTAGGTGGTAGAGGACATGGGCCTTTACATAAAGGGGACAATCATGTTGCTACAACAGGAAAATTGTGACAGTTTATGGCAGAGGGAATATACCTCCAGCAGTCTGTTGACCTTTTGTATGGTCTGCCCAACACGCTCCAATAGGGCCTAAACAAATATTGTGTTGCCATCGAGCATTGCTATCATAAATGAGGAAGTGAGCATACGTTTTCAGGAAGTCAAAATAACCAACAGCCATACCATGATCTCTAAGGGCACAATACTGTACTGTTCATATTCAGAAACAAAACTGCCCACATTCCACGAACTAAAGGACAATATGACTAGAATTTTCCATTGTTTAGTATCCTCTTACTACACAGTGTACACAATGCTGGCTTGATTGGATTGGGAGTCACTGATAATAGAGGAAGTATGTCCATTGTTCAACATAAACCTATTCAGGACTACACTGGTCAGCGTGTTTGCACATAAGTGCTGATTGGGACAGAAACAGGGTTGTTGAGGCTAAGATTCATCACTATGCATTACTGATACAGTCATCAGTCAGTGGAAATGTTACAATGATTTCATTTTTCAAATATGCTCTACCTCAAAAATAACATGTGTTATATCTGTGCAATGATTAATTATACTTGTAGCACCTTTCATTCAAATCACTGCTGTAACTGAGTCAAGCTACTTCTACAACTAATATGTATTTTCCATTTTAATTTAGATATTTAAACCTAACTAAAACAAAAGAGTGGAGCCTTTCGTAACGCTGTCTTGTATGGGGGAAAAGCACACTGGGGCTATGGATGAGTTCTGACAGTAAATATGTACCACCGGATCGGAGGGAGCAGTGCTAAAGTAACCTACTGAGGCACTGTTTGTTTTGCTTGGATTTGTATGAGCCCTGAGGGAGACATTACACACAAATCTAAAGCCCAGCTTTATCTACTCGTGCCTGGGTTATGTGTGAATCGGAAACCCGATACATTTGAATAGTAAATTAGGAAGGACCCTGTAATACAGTACAATAGCACACTGGGTTGTCTCCCCTTCTCATATTTATGCACCCTCACCATTCCCATACACAGTCTGTCCCCATACATACCAAAGATCCTCCATTTTGGGTATGCCTTTTGTGGGGGACGTTGAGCACTGTTACAAAAATGTACTTATTTTCCATTGAGCTTGGGTGGATGTTTGGGTCTGACAGGCTTCTATAAGGCTGGGGCCGTGCCGGTCCCCTCACATCACTGAGTTCCACTGCTGTATGACACGGTCACCAGAGGAGGCTGGTAGGAGGAGCTATAGGAGGATGGGCTCATTGTAAAGACTGAAATGGAATTAATGTAACAGTATCAAACACATTAAACATATGGAAACCGTTCCATTGATTCAATTCTAGGCATTACAATGAGCCCGTCCTCCTATAGCTCCTCCCACCAGCCTCCTCTGATGGTCACACATTATGTGGAGCACTCTTTTAATGTCTGTCCCTTGAAACTAGAGGATTTTGCTCGCACTGAAGAGGACTGTGCCCGTTGGCTGAAAAATGCATGTGGCCCAGATTTGTAAATCAAAAGCACATTAAGACTGCCTTTTTTGAGTACATGGATGGCATCTGTCCAAAGTATTTAATGGTACATTTTGTTTAGTATACCTATTTCCCACTATATCATGGGCATGGTAAAGTGGGTGGAGTCACTCTGTCACCTGTGGAAGGCTCTGCAAGGAAATGCCAAAGGCTACCACTACAAAACCACCTCTATAACAACAAAAGTGCATTTACCAAGGGGCATTCAAATGTAATCACTATTTAAACCCTCTGAAAGAAAGAAGGTTCCCATTTGGAAACCCAAACCAAATCTTCCATGAAATGAATATGAAAAGTACAGCTCTGGGAAATATCTGGCAAGGCGAAACTTTTAAAGAGAAAATTGTCTCCTATCATTGTCCCCTCATTCTCTGACCTTTACTGTAAATACCGGCTAGCAGTGTCTGAGAGGCAGTCTGACCCGACCTCAGCTCTCTCTCAGCATGGTGTTGTTGCAGGATCCCTTTAGGTGTTAAATGGAAGTACTTTCCTGAAAATACTTTCTCTCATTAATAATGCATAGAGGGGTTTGTTTGTCCGCTGTGACTCACTCCAATGGGCTCCACCACCGCTACTGCGGTCCACAGCATAAATTACAACCCTGCTAGTTC